CTTATTAAAAATTAGTGGCGTAATTTCTACAGACGTTGGTTGTCATGACGACCGTCCGGTGAAAAAAAATAAACAAACGAAAAAAAAAAATTTCTCATCGCTTAAAATAAACAAAAAATTTTAATGACACGATTTTTTTTTTTTAATAAAAGTGAATTTTTAATTTTTTATTCGTGTTTGATTGAAAAAAAAAAAAAAAAAAAGTTTTTCTTCGGTTTTAATAAATAGATTTGTAAGTATTTATCATTCGTACGTGAGATAAAATGGCGAAAAAAATTAATTAATAGGTAAAAACAAAACTCTCCTTTTTCCATTTTTTATTTTTGTTTCAATAATTTATTGTTACGTAAATTTTTTATGAAATCGATTTTTATTTTTAAAAAAAAGTATAAAATCCCATTTTTTACTCGTAAAACTTTAAAAAAAAGAAAAAAAAACTTTTTTTTGTTAGTATCGATTAAAATACTATTCGATTGTAATAAAACAAAAGAAATTAATTAACAATTTTAATTCAATAAAAAAAAAACGAATTTTCAAACGAACGACGGTTAAGAAATTTTTCTTTTGTAAAATTGGCAACAGTGTATCAGGCCAAGACGTGGCAAATCTCTTTCGATTTTACTTTTATTTTGACGTAATATTAATTGTTTTAAAAATCGAACTTATGTACTTCTTATTATAAATTATTATGTACATAAATATACATATTAATTAAAAAAAAAACCACACGATTAGGTATCAAACAAATAATTAAATTAAATTTCTTATTAAAATAATAATAATAATAATAATAATAAAGGTTTTTTAAAATTTTTTTTATGTTGAATTTCAGTAATAAAAAATTTTTTTTTTTGTAATTGACAATTTTCCACTTGCATGCTTATCAACCGGATATATAGATATTTGTTTAAAAAAAAAAAAAAAAAAAAAAAAACTTTATGTAAATACCTTCCCCCCCCCCCCATTTAAAGAAAGAAAATTATCAAAATTTTTTGTTGATAAAACCGGTTAATTTAAAGTTATTGAGTAATCAGCATGGAAAAGCTTTTTCATTACACTAAAAAACTATTTTTTTGTTTTTTAAACATAAATTAAAACCATTAAAAATCAACTAAGATTAGGAAGGGGGGGTGGTGGTGGTGGTGGGGGCGGGGGAAAAAAACATGGCGATTCAAAATCAAGGTGTTTTTCATCATTAACAAAAAAAAAAAAATGAAGGTTAATTGAATGTAGATTATATAAAAGGTCATTGGCTACCTACCCTCCTGTTGTTCAAATAATAATAATAATAATAATAATAAATTCAATTTTCTTCTAGAAAATTCTTTTTTTTAAACAAGCAAACAAACAAACAAACAGTAAAAAAAAAAGAAAATTTTTATACATGCCTGAACCTAATTATTGGTTAACTACATTATAATAATTAATTTAAATAATTCATACCTTTTTCTCCTTTGATTCTTACCTTTTAACCTTTTAATTAATTAAATAATAATAATAATAATAATAATAATGTGTAAAAAAAGATGTTTCGCGAGATGCGTAATAACTCGAGCCGAACGAACAAATTACCATAGATAATAATACTAATTTGTTCAGAAGGCGCGGGTCGATACGCAACCGACAAAATCCTTATTTATTTTTCCAATGGGGGGGCGGGGGACCCTGTCAAAAAAAAAAATTACATATATCAATGTATATATGAACGAACGGGCCCAATTCAAATTTTAAAAAAAAAAAAAAAAATTGAAACGAACCCGCCATGAAAACGTTACACAAAAAAATTTTTTTTTAAATTAATAAAATAATAATAATAAATAAATAAATAAATAAAACTTACGTTTAATTAAAATAATTAAGATGAAAAACATTTTTATTCGTAAAAAATAAAAAGTAAAATGAGTAGTAGTAGTATGAGTTTGTAGTCTGACAATGAGTTGAGTGTAACCCGCCATTGTTACCCGCGACTGATAAGAAAAACTCGCTTCATATGTTTTAATGACATTTACAAACACACACACACACAAAATTATAATAAATGATTTCACACAAAACGTTCGTTACTTTTTTTTCTGGTACTACGATCGTCGTCGTCGTCGTCGTACGTTTAACATTCCTTATAATTATGTCTTTTGACACGAAATTTTTTTTAAAAAAATGTTTGTATTATTCCACGTAATTAATGTTGTTGTTGTTGTTGTTGTTATTACATACGCACGCACACCTGGACAAATAGGAAAATACCTGTTTTGCATTTACAATCGGTTAATTACACTCGTCATCGTAAAAAAAAAAAAAAAAATTAAAACAAAAGAAAATATAGATTATAACAAAAAAAAAAATTAGGACGAAAGTTTTTTTTTTTTCTTCTTCTAGAACATTCTTTTTTTTTCATCTGTTGTAATAAAAAAAAAATATATTTGTTTGTTTTATATAATTAAATTCGCTCTAATAAATTTTATTTACACAAATTTTTTGCAAATGAATTATGATGATGATGATGATGATACCGTTAATAAGTAAATATGAATTATTAATTAATTCGCCATTTTTCTTTACTCTTTCTCTCTCTCTTCCTCTCTCTCTCTCTCTCTTTCTCTCTCGTCTATTTTACATAATAATAAAATTATTAATTTTTTTTGCCTTCAAATGTGTGTCTGTGTGTGGTAAATAATTATATTTTTTAAACGTCGTTAAAAAAAAACCATAAAATATTTAATAAATTCAATAAATTTATTTTTTCGATACTTTAAAATTGTTATTAATAAACCGGAAATTAATGAAATTCAAAAAAAAAAAAGCGGGTGAAAGATAAATAAATAAATTAATTAATTAATAAAATGATAACCGCATAACCGCATACATAAATTTATTTCCATTAAAAAAAAAACCTTTAACGAAAATTAATAATAATAATAATAATAATAATTTGAAATAATATTTAAAACGAAGAGAAATAAAAAAAAAAGAAAAATTTTTTATCCGTTGGGACGGGGGGGGGGTGGAAGGGGGTTCCCATTCTTTGTTTTCTCTTCGGTTAATTTTCCACAGGTACCAACGACAAAATTTTCCAAGTCCTTACAATCAATCAATGATCAACACAGATTGATAGATTATATATACAAAAATTTTTTCTAAAGAAAATTACGATTATCACGTGACAAAACTCATTCCATTTTTTTTTTCTTCGGTTGGTAATAAATTAAATAATAATAATAATAATAATAATAATAATTAAAAAATTTTCATTATTGATAAATATGAAAAAAAAATCGAAGAATTTGAAATTATTGATGAGTTAAATTTAGACTAAAAGTTTCCCCAGAAATCGATACAAAAAAAAAATTTAACGAATATTGACCTTTACAATAACCTTTTTAAAAAAATTATTATTATTATTATTACTACTATTAAACTCTACCAAAATAAATAAATAAATAAATAAATAATAAATAAATAAATAAAACACGAAAATTTCATCTATTTATTTATTTTTCAAAATCAATAATAATTTTTTATTAATTAATTAATTATTGATTGATAACAGTGTTATCATTATTATCATTTTAAAGGATTAATTTAAATTTATTTATTTAATATTCAATATAAAAATCGATTGTCAAAGAAAAAATTTTGTTTTTTATAATAATAATAATAAATTAACAGTAGTTTGTTATTATCAATTAATTATATTTAAACAACAGGTGGTTTTATTTACTTTTAAAATTAATTCAAGGATACAAAAAAAAAAAAAAAAAATTATTATTGTCGTCGCTTTTTTGTTTTTTTTTTTTTAAATAAAAATGAAAAATAATATGATTGACGTTTTTTTTTTTTTTTTTTTACTATTGAATGAATATTTAGAATAAAATACAAAAAGTAAATTAAATAATAATAAATTAATTAAATTTGTATTATCATATTAAAAAAAAAATTAACAAACATTATCAATAATTTTTTTCTCGTTTCACTAATTTTAATTTATTATTAATTAACTATTAACTAATTATTATTGTATCGAAATAATAATAATAATAATAATAATATTTGTTTATATTAAATTTTTTACAATTTAAGAGTAAACTAATATAATTAATACGAATAACAAAAACAAAAAATTTTTATACGTAGATTTTCAACCTTATTATTATTATTATTATTATTATTATTCTGTTTTTTTTTTTATTTAAACAAATTGTTATTGGTAACAATAAAAAAAAAAAGAAAAGAAATTAATTAATAAAACGTGTATACACATTATTGTGAAAGAAAAGTGATTATTGTACTTTTCAGACTAGAAATTTTTTTTTTTTTTTTTTGTTGTTTCTTTAATAATAAAAAATAAAATTTTTATTTTAATTTTAAAATTATTTATTTATTTTTGTCATTTTCTTTCCTAAATCCTAAATGGCCCTTATTTTTATTTAAAAAAAAAAATTATTTTAAAAAGACGCACACGCACATATATACTTTTTTTAAATTTAAAAATTTATAAGGCAAATTAAATACTTATATATTTATTAATATTATTATTATTATTATTATTATTATTAATATTCACCGGGTTTTTTATTTTGTTCGAGTCAAATGTATTTACGTACATTTTTTTATCAACTGAAAGCCCTTATTAATAATAATTTTTTTATTGTAAAATAAATAAATAAAATTAAAAAAGGTTAGAAACCCCCCCCCCAAAAAAAAAAAACGTAAACGTTATTTTCAAGGACATTCACAATATTTTAATACTGATATTTTCAACAACATTAAAACCCCTCCTTTTAATAAAATTAAGTACTTTTTTCCACCCTTAAACCTAAAAGGTTAATAAGGCAACAAGTCGACTAGAATCCTTTGAACGTGATTTTTTAATTCTTCTTTTAATGATTTTAACAATTCTTTTTCTCCTTTGTAAAGTATTAAAATTTGATGCCTTTTAAGTTGAGCTCTAAATCCAAACATAAACAAAAAGGTTAGTAAGTAAAAGGAAATCAATCAAAGGAAACCGACAAAAAAAAATGAAAAAAATTCTTACAAGTTAGGAGTTAAAGGATCCTGATATTTACACCAATCAAATTTTTTACATTCCAAATCTTTACTTTCTTCCTTTCTATAAACCAAAACATTTTTTAATGCTTTTTCCTTGTTCGATACCGTCATGTCTAAGTGAATTGAAGTTATCAACAGGTCGTTTATGTAAGGTTTTAAATTAGGCACACTTTTCAAATTTTGATAAATTAATTTAAAATTCGGGATTTCCCCCTAAAAAAAAAATCAAACGAATGTAATTTACGACAGAGAGAGAGGGTGAGAGAGAGAGAGAGAGAAAAAAAAAACTCACGTAAATTCATTTACCTCGAATGATTCCTTAACGATACATTTGTAAAAATTTCTACTTTCTATTCTTCTTAATATATTTTTTGCTTTCAACATGTTTTCGTCGTCAAATTTTTCGTAAAGAATTTTTTGAAAAATGTGATCCGTTAATTCCGTTATGGGAGTCTCGGTCAGTTTTAACCTGAAATAAAAAAAAATTCGTTACGCTTGTGATTCGTCATTATTAAAACCTTTTTTTTTCGATTAGTAATAATTCACCTGTCGTTTGCCAATACAAAAGCATCAATCAACATTTCTTCAACAATTTTAACTTTTATATGTTGGTAAGCCTTGTCGTGAAGTCTTCCTCGTGATAAAAACATTTCAATTATAACAGAACATTCTTTTTCTCTGGAAATTTTTAAAGAAAACTTTTACATTATTAAAATTCAAATTGAATTAAAAAAAATAAAATTAACAAAAAAAAAAAAATAACCTGTAACAAATTTCTTCTTCTCCATCGTCATTTTTTAATATTTGACAAAAATTCAATAAACGCCGATAATCGAATCCTACAGGAACGTTAAGCATTACACTATCACGAGCTAAATAATCCCATTTGTCAACGTCGATATCATTATTTTTATTACTAATAATCTAATGAATGATACAAAATTGTCATAAAAATTGACAAATTCATCAAATGTAAAATTTAATTCCAGTTAGAAAAACGTAAGCACGTTACATACATACATACATACTTGAAATAGATAATTTTTTGTCGTTTCGTTTCCTAAAATCATTTTTTTTATAAGTTCCACATGACTCGAATTTAAACCGTAATATTCGAATGCGTTTTTAACGGTTTCTAAATTTTGACCGTTGAAATTTTTTGTTGGTGATATTTTTTCATTCAATAATTCATCGAATATCATTATCGACTCCAATTCGTGCTACGTAAAGAAAGAAAGAAAGAAAAAAGTTTTTTAAAAAAAAAAGAAAATAAAAACAAATATTTTAATTTAATTTTTTTTACTTACCGACCAATTATCATCCGGATCAACTCTTCGTCGAAATTTTTCCCAAGTGTGTGAAAACGGACCGTGACCGACGTCGTGACACAATCCCGCGATTTGCACGCAAAGTTTATTCTTCTCCCACGTTATTTTTTCATCGTCGTTTAAAAAATTACGTTTTTGTCGCAAACTGTCGAAAAGTTTTCCCGCGATGTGAGCCGTCCTGTGTAAATTCAATTTATTTTTTTTTTTACTAATTCATCGTTTTAAAAGTTTTAAATTAACTTATTTGATTAATTTTTTAAAAAATTACGATTTATAACTTACCCTAAACAATGTTCAAAACGATTATGAGAAGCAGAAGGAAAAATAAAATAACAACCTCCCAACTGTTTTAAATTTCTCAGCCTTTGTAATTGTCTTGTATCAATTACAACAGAAATTAGAGGATGAAACATCATGTGACCGTGGACTAAATCATTAAAAACTTTTATTTCCATACTTCTAAAAAAAAATAAAGTACATAAATAAAAATTTAATTATTTATTTATTTATTTATAAAACATCCATAATATAATTTAAATTTGAAGAAAGATTAACTTGAATTGAAAAAGGTATTATTGGAAAAAAAAAGTCAAACGTTGAATTAAATAATAAAAACATATTAACTTGTTTCATTATTAATTAATTAAATAAATAAATAAATTTTATTTGGTAAAAAAAATAATAGAGTTATATCTTTTATTAAATTTTTTTTTTTGAAAAACTTAAAATGGTAACCTTTGTGTTTGTCAACCCTGAAACGATGACCTCTCAGTTGACATTTTAAGATTTTAGATAATGATTTGAGGAGGTATCAAATCTCATGGTCGACGTTATGTATTTGAATGAAAATTTTCTTGTTCGTACGTTTAATTAAAATACATTTTTATTTATTTATTTATTTATTTTTTTTTATATATAAATTCTTAAAGAAATAAAAATTTATTATTGCCATTAGTTTTTTGTTAAATTCAATTAACAGTCGTTAATAAACGCTCAATAAATTTATTTATGAAATAAGTATGAAACATTAATAATAATAAAAATAAATAAATAAATTTTATTCATTTGAAAAGAAATAAACTAGCACAAACGAACTGAACTCAAGCTTCTTAATAAAAATAATAATAATAAATTCTG